CAAATTTGGTGGCAGTTCATTGCCTATTCGCCTAGAAAAACAGGTTTATCTACATTTTTTGAAGCTTTTTCAAATTTCCCGCGCTGACGCCCACATTGAAACAAACATTGAACCTTTACTGGAGCAGGTTCTGTAACAGTTCAGAAGTGTGTATGGGATTACTCTGAATTAAGTATTGAATAAGAAGGAAATACTCAGCCGCTGCATGAACATCCGCGCTAGGAAGAATTTTGCTGTGGAAAAAGCGGCCATAATTGAGATTGGACTACACGCTCCTCTCTGAACCCCATACGATTTCCCCTTTGCTTTTTCTACAAAAACGAATTCCAACTTGCCCTCCGGAGACCTGCAGCCGAGGTCTGGCTTCGAACGACGTAATGAGAATTTTCATAAAGCATATCAAAGAGGACCCTGGTGTATAGCGCAGAACCAAGAAGGCGCAATATGCAGATTCAACTTGTTTATGAAAGAGAGAATTGAGGCAGCTTTTCCGAAAAACTTCCTTGGTCAACACTATAGTTGGGACCGAATATTCGTGTTCGAATAAAATCTTCAAAAATTTCGAATAATTCGAATATCCGACATCCGAATATTCAAGAAAGCGCATTTATTCGATTTTTCGAATAGTCGAACATTAAACGCCCTTATTCGATTATTCGAATAGTCGAATATTTTGTAACAGCGACGTTCGAAGATTCGAATGCGGATAGTTTTGGAAATGAGATTCGAGTAATATTCGATCATCTGAATGTTTGCGAAATATCGAATATGATTGAGATTGCGTGATTATGTTTGACTGAAATATTCGAATAATTCGATTTTTACCATTCGAACAGTCGGATATCCGAAAAAACGCACTAATTCTGTCATTCGAATTTCGAATATTCGGGCGGATATTCGACAATCAGCACCTTGTTATGAATGGTCACTTGGAGTAATGAGCACTCGAAATGTATTGGACAGAAAACGGATTTGTTTTTTCATTATTTTTCAATGTATTAATTCTGGCAAATATCACCTATCCATCATTCACATTTATTAGGCTGTGCATTGTTTCCTACACTTCTTCTATTGCCTTCTTAGTATCTTTTTTCCTTCAATATCAGTATAGACTAATATCATAAGGTAGCGTATTGCGATACTTGCCATGGATAATACTTTATTGAATAGATTCCGCGCTGTTTTTCCCACTTTTTCAGTTCTTTATAATTTCTGCTCACTGATAATAGACTTGCGAGGTCCACCGCATAAATGCTTTTTACTCATCTCTGCATTGCCGTCCTTAAATTTGTAAAACAAAGCAATGGAGGAACAGTTTCAGACAAAAGCAATTTCTTCAGCCAAATTTATATTAAATGACAAGCCAAACTTGCTGTAAGTGGAATCCCAACACGCAAAGCATATAATCAGAAATGAGAAG